TCTCGTTCATTATTCACGTTTCATAGAGAATTGAACAGAACTTATTTTGCGCGTTTCCCGTTTTTGTTAATTGTCGTAATCGTACTATGATTTTTAATCGAAAAGAAAAACTGCGTAGGAAATATCTGTGAGGCTAGTTATCGTGACATTTTATGGACGTTGGTATTTTTTTTTTTTTTTTTTTTATTTGGTTACGCTGTTTAGATCGGGCAAAATGACACTGTTGAATTTTAAAACCATCCAATTATAAATGCACCATCTTACTGATTATTTGTCTACGGCCGGCATTTCGAATGCGGTAATACTGACATCGGCTCACAGCAATAAATAATAATGCACCGAATGGCGAGTACAACACGACAGTTCACATCAAAATAAAACAAACAATTACTATAATATTCACTCTCTGTTACACTGCGCAAAGTATAATATTTGAATAGTTTTTTTTATTTATTTTTTTTTTTTTTTTTTTTTTTTTTTTTATTTATTTAAATTGATAAAATAGCTATTGCGTATTGTTTGACATTGAAGCTCGCGACACTTGAGTAAATAATAAATGGTTTACGCTTCCCATAACGAATCTCGACTATGATAACCATTGCCGTTTACTGCAACGTTTTAAAATATCCAATTCACTGTCCTTTTTTTTTCTTTTTTAAATAAATAAAACCGAACACGGTGAAATTCACGGTGAATTAAAATTCGTACACTACGGCACACGACGACAACGCTTCCCACACAAAAGATTTGTACAATAATATAAATATAGATACCATTACTTTTTATGAACGTAACGAAATGCGTTTATTTATACGATATTGTTATACCAAGATAATTACAATTTTCGGGATTATTTCGTAATTTCGTGATACCTCTAGGACGGTTGGTATTTTTTGGGTGCAAATACTAAGAAGAGTTGAATTTTTACTACAACGTGTAGCCACTATATACGTAATAGAATACAAGTCAAATTAAAGAAGGAAACATGCAAAAAGTGAATAAAAACAGAAAAATATTAAAAAGCATATTTTAGATAAACTACGGAAATACAAAGCACATAAATACAATAAATAAGGTTTTTAAAATGTCACGTCTGTCGAATCGGTGTACCGTAATATAAATGTCCATAGATCACTGTGCCGACTAACGTAAATAAGCGAATGCTTTATAAGTCACCCTGTATAGTTAATAACAAGTTATCTAGATAACGATAACAAAAAATGAATTGAACTCAAATTATCTAGATGAAAAATAACAGATACTTAATCGTAATTTATCTGGACAAAAAGTAAATTCATTATGTTTTTTTTCTCATTTTATTATTAGGTTGTCCAAATAAAGCCGTTTTCTTGTACCTGTAGACGACTGCAAACAATAACACCGCGGTCGCAGGGAGGCGTTCGATGAAAAAAAAAAAAAAAAAACACCTAAAAACAACGTGTTATAAACACCGACCGGCAACGACGAATAAAGGACGAAAAATATTTATACTCCGAACGGATTGTCCGTGTATATGTATAATAATAATAGTAATAATACACGTATCTCTCTCTCTCACACACTCTCTCTCTCTATATATATAAATATAGGATGTGCAGAGACAGCGGGTCTCGAGTAACAAGAACGAGGGGCGTGCCCGGGTCGTGTTGTGGCGGCGGCAGCTGTGCGCAAAGAAGAAGGACCGGGCAACATCCGCAGTACACGACACGCGCGTACTGCAGTCCTTTTATTTTAGTGTCGGCTCTGTCCGGCGGCCATTTTCCGATCTGATCAAATAATAATAATAATATTATACGCCGTACCGCCGGCCGGTGCACACTATTAAACACGTATATCGTTTCGAAAAAACAAAGAAAAAAAAAAAAACCGTCGGCACATATTATAATACGAAATTACGTGTAAAAGTGTAGCCGTGATGTGCGTGCGTGCGAGAACAGGTATACAACGACGGATAAATATTATTGTTTTAACACACACATACATAGCCTCTGCTTCTTTATAGGAGTAAAGAAAGAGAGAGAGAAAGAAAAAGCCAGACACACCACGGGTAGACCATTGGTGTATTATACAGGCGGAAAGTCATCAAGGAAATATTTAAATATTGATTGTGACGAATAGGTGAAAATATTATGATATCGAAAATTCTGATTGGATACTCACTTAATATCTGTTGCCCAAATGCGAGCTCATGTTGGATTTTAATCGAAAATAAACGCCGATTTATTTGTAAAACAACGTCGGGTAAGTAACAGGAGACCAAAGTAATCACTTGCGGTAGTCGGGATAACCGAAAAGTATCTCTGATTAAATTTCGGTATTTTTTTTTAGTAGTTTTTTTTTCTCACGTGTAACCGAAGGAACCCCTTTAAAACAAAGTCTAAAAAGCCTTAAGCACGTCCCCCAGTGATGGATTTTTTTTGCGAGAGATCCTGAAAAATCATATGTATCATATCACCCCAAAAACAAGTTCGTAATAACGTTCGTCGTCTAATTACGACTAAAACGTAGACACTTCAGACAGTATCAGGTCATGACCGACGGCGTTTACAGCAAACAAGTTTTCGTTTTGCCTTTGTCTGATCAACGTCCGTAAACGCAATGCAATTTCCAAACGTTCCATCAGCAAGACTGCGTTAGGCTGACAGCGTCTAATGCCGTTTTGCCGTTTAGACGTGCGTTAGCCCTAAAGGCGTTTCGGTCAATAACAAACAGTCCCGAACGCACCGATTACGATGTTTTTCGATCGGACCGAGTGTTCGGTACGCAGTAAGCGGGTTCGTATACGACCGAACGGAAAAAAAACACACACACGCATTGTAAAATTGTTATAGTAGGTAGTCGATACCTCTCCGTCGAAACGGCCGCGGGGCCGAGTGCGAAAATCCAAACACCTTTCGGCGTCGACACCCGGCTCGGCGCGATTACGCCGCGCGGCGCGGCGGCACCGTACCCCAATAAAAGTCTCACCTGGAGACGCGTTATTTGTGACGGCGGCGGTTAGTGTAAACGCTCCGCGCGTGCATTGGGTACGTGTAGGCAGGCTGGCTGCAGGTACTTATTTACTCTTTTCGGTAATACGCACCCCGTAATCACGACCCCCGCGGTATAAACCCGGTATATGATTACGCGTCGTCCCGACAACGAACCCCGCGCCCCCGAGTGCCCGACTTCAAATACGCGTACGCGGACACGCCGCCCGGTAAACCAAATATTTGTGCACGGGATTACGGTGTGCGAGAGTGTTTTATACGCGTCGTGTGATAATAATACACGCCCCGTCGTCGCCGCCGCCGCCGTTATTACGTGTTGTGACGTGTGTGCGCGCGCGTGCGTGTGTGTGTGTACTGCTATACTGTTATTATTATCGTCATCATGTATATACGCGATAAATCCGCCCGGAGGGATCATACCGCCGCCGCCGTTCGTGTATACGTGTCTACTATTATTACACTATACAGTATGATGTTGTTTATGTATATATATATATATATATATAAAGGCACCCCCGACAAAAAAAAAATAACAATAATAAGTGACGTTTTTATCGTTCAAAAAAAGTAGCTCCTCGAGAATACACCCCGCGATATAGGCGAGTACGGGGGACGGGAGTGCGATAGTATTAAATTCGAAACAAAAAAAAAAAAAAAAACGGTCCGAAAAAGAACCACGATAACAGCGTTTAAAGTGCATCTTGTTACGTAACACATTGTGATCCGCAAGGTTCGAGACTTTTGGCATTCATTTATAGAATTGTCGTTAATAGAAACGCTCAAGTGGCCTCGCCACTAAAACGCGATTTCTCTGTCTGCCTCGTATGTTATGCATCGATGCACGTATTGTTTATAATATAGCGACAAAGGCATTTCGCATTTTCACGATTGCCACTCTCTGGTAGAGTTTAAGCTAAAGCGACCTGTTATCGTACATTTTACAAAAAAATGTGTTTACTACGGATCTTACGAATGATTTTGAATTAATACACCTATATATATTTTTTTTTTACAAAAATAAACGTATTTTTCACTTAAATTTAACGATTTAAACCACTGTTTTAGGTGGGTAGTGGGGAAGGTGGGATGTATAAGGTTATTTTATTTATATCTGTAAGCAACGATAAATAATTGCTGACGAAAGACAATTCCGAGCGCAGTTTGGTAATACAAAATTTAAAAAAAGAAAAAAAGTCGTCCGATAATTTCGTAAAATAATGAAATCGTGAAATTGTACATAGTCCTACGTTTTTTCTCATTTAAGTGTTTTTATTTAAAAAATGGCGTCGAAAATCAAAAAATGACCTCTATAAAGTACAATCTAGACGATTTGAGCTTTCAATAAAAATGCTACACTTATACATTAGAGCAAGTTTACCAGGAAAAAAGTTATCCACAGACTAGAACAAAGAACAAAAAAAAAAAAATAGAAAAATAAATAAACAGCATTATAAAACCAATATCTCCCTTGCTATACTCGGAATCTAAAACTTGAACATTTCAAATGCCTATATTAAACCAAATAGATCAAAAATCTCCAGAATGTTTTGACACAATTTCATTACGTTTTAAAAGGCCCATTTAAGTAGATATTCTGTGACAATTTTATAACCCTACAATTGTTTTAAATCAAATTACAAAAAAAAAAAAAAAAAAAAATTAAAATAGTGAAACCGTTATTTGCGTAAACATTACTCTATTTTCTTACGTTTTTCCCCGGTTTTATTCGATGATTAAGAAAACTAGTTAAAGAATATATCTACGACATTCTTACTCAGTAGCTGGATCCAAAATGCAACGAATAGGTCACTTGTCATTTTTTGATTAGAATACGATTTTTAATATGCGAGTTTTGTACAGTCAAAAAAATAAATTAATAAAAAAACCGCACGTTATAGTAAAACCAAAACATTCCTCATTCCTCTTGGAATCTAATACGGAAATTATAAACAGTAATTATATTTGCTATTAGTGAGTCGTTTAAATAATTTTATAGCGAATAAGTCCTTCGCCAACGATCATACCAAGTTGAATCCAGTTCTCGTCCGATCATTGAAATTAGCAACGTCGGGCGTAGTTAGTACTTGAATGGGTGACCGTTTAGGGACGCTACGCGCCGTTGGCTTCTATTTTTTGTTCAAAAAATATTGTAAGATTTTAAATAGCATTAAATTTCTTTTATTTTTGTATCTTTTTTTTTATTTACATTACATATTATAATAATTTTATTAATTTATAAAAAACGATAAAAACACAACTGAATTATAACAAAAAAAAATACGCGATTTGCCAATTATAAACGAAATATTTTTTTTTTAACGATTTTTTTCTGTTGATATTTTAGTACTACTTAATATTATATACTTAAATTTAAAATTTGTTCAGCCCTACAGACCGTTCGTTCACTTTAATTGACCTAGGTGATGGCATTTCGAATATGTATTACATTAGTGTCAAGGTAGTGCCAGGTTGAAGGTATCAACTTTCAATAACACCCGTCTCCGCCGTTTTTATGCTCAAATTTCATATGTTTTCACAGGAAATACTGGGTTTTCACCACCCCTACAGACTACCTACTCAAATTTAATAACGGCAATGAGACGGCTGCAAGAAAATTCAACTCTAGTACCTTACGGAACTCTGTTGCCCGAGGTTGTTTTTAAAAAAATGTCATTGCATTTTTTATTAACCGTAAAATATTTAAAAATATATATAAATGAAGTCGGAAATAGTATTATTCGGGGCCAAAAGAAGGTACTTTCTCTATCTCTTTTTCTCTCTTTTGTACTCCGCTGACGTATATTCCCGTAAAAGATACAGTGTAATCAGTCCTCATTATGAGTGTATCAGAAAGTATTAACTCTTTTCGGATTGTTTTGTTTTGGTTTTCGCTTGGGCCGCCTCGCAAATTACGCTCCACTAATCCTTTCCTTTCCATTTATTTATGGAAATTTAATATAGGTCGTTATTTTAAAATCGAACGAGTGTCATTCCCGAAAAATAATGGAGAAAAAAATGTACGGTAAATTAACATTTTAGAGCCGCTACAGTCTCTTAAATTGTCGAAAAACCGTGATAATGTATGCCTCGATAATGATTGTTTTATCGAGGATTAAACAACAACTTGTATATTATAATTGTTAAACTGCACGACGTGTTCATTTTAGTAAATCTTCATTATTTCTTAGAAAAAAAAAAAAAAAAGTAGATAGTTATTTTATTTGTGAGATATAATTTAAATTAAGTCGTTAGAGTATAATATGTGTAAACGTGTACACAATATAATTCGATTTAGTTTATTGTTTTTCATGACTTAAAATGGTTAAAACCATAACTGCGGTATAATTTCTTAACACCCCGAACGCACTTTTCTCACTTTCTTTAATTAATATAATGTATAGGTACCTGCCTATACAATTATTAATAGGAAATATCGTAATTATATAATAATATATAACGTTCAAAACTCGACATTTGGCAGCAAATTAAATTTCTGTATAACCGCAGCCGTTTTAAGGGTACTAAATTAAAAAAAACCTATAAACAGGGCGTATTATCATTTTTTTTTTTCTACAGCAGTTTACCCACCATCTGTCGTTTTGGCCCTCGACTATTACATGAAATATAATTATTACTTAGCGCTTTATACGCGGTGCGCACATCAATTCGTTTCCAATTCATGATGGTGTATAAGCGATGAATGTTTCCTTAAATATAATTTTAAGTTCTTCGTTTTGAATATAAACGTTTAATGATAGGTTTTTGATAATTGGCACGCTTATCTATAATATACCCGATGTAATATAGTGTAGCGATAAAATCTCTCGTCTTCCTGAATTATAACGTAACGATTTAAAACCTATTACGTTTACAACACACACAAAAAAAAAATATACATAAATAGTTATTATGAATAAAAAAAATTGACATTTTATGTAATTACAATTTTTACCGGGATTCTGCGAAACCCGTTCAACCAATAAATACAGTGGCGCCCGGAATATTCATCTTGAGGGGCCTTATAATTCACATACACACTACAAATATACATACCCACACACACACACACACACACACACACACGAATCATACGTATATTATATATATTATATTATTTATATACCATTTAAGATTTACCAAGATTCTATAGGTTAGGCCGGTGTTTCCCACGCTATGGAAACCCTAGTGAGGAATTTAGGTACTGCGTAGGGGGTAATAGGGGGAGGCATGAGATTTTTAAAAATCTTTAAGAAAGGCGTAGAATAAAAGTCGGGAAACATTTGGTTAGACAGAATAATAAACTCTTTTGATATTGGATTTATAGGTACCTATAGTATTTATATATACTATGGAAAAGATTGATAAGAATACGAAATGGGTGGATTGGTTATATAATTAGATATATTAAGGATCAAAATATGCGATATGTATTGGCCACTGAAATGGAAAAGGGACGACGGAAACGGATGGAGTCAAGATACGAACCAATTATTTGAGGTTTGATAAAAAAAAAAAAATATCTATACCATAGAAAACTTACTTCAAAATATAATAATAGCCAGTACGGTAGACAGAGAAGAAAATCGGAGGACCTAATCGAATTAACATGTGAATTCGTGAGTTATCTGAACAAAATATTTGTTATAAGAAGTCCAAAAGTATACGGAATTTTTTTTATCAACATCATTCATCACACTACTTTATAAACTTACAATTGATTAATATTGAATTATACGTATATTTAAATACTAGTTTTATATCGGCGCCGGCGAATTGTATTGTTTTCTCTGCGTGACTTTTAGACTCTTCCGTAACGGCATGCAACCCCACACACAGGGTCGGACTAGGTCACCGGGAGACCGCGAAATCTCTCGGTAGGCCGCGATTAAAATGAGTTAGGTAGAATAATCTTGTAAGGTCAGGCGTGGTAAGTGAATAACCGGAACAAGTGACAAGACGAGTTTATTACAACACAAGATACGATTTAGTTGTTCTGTTAGGCTGTTAAATAGGGGAAACGAATGGCTGGCAATTATATTTGCTCTGTACGCTGTCGAAAAGGGCCTTTAATAAGTCACCGAAGAATTACATTAGGTCATTTTGGGGGAGCCTTTAATAGGCTGTTAAAGGTTTGCGGTAACACGTATATTGTATACAGGCTATCGGTTGGCCAAAATGAGCCGTCACCGAGGACGATTTCAAGGGAAAGTAATTCGGGACCTAAAATTATGTGCAATAGAACACAGTGCGCAGTATCTAAGTAGTATACAATTCATTATGATTACAGTATACTATTTCAATATGTGTCATAGATTGTGTGATTTGCCACCTATAATAGTATTTTTTATTTGAAAACGTTATCGAATTGGTCAATACTTTTCACGCTTGTTCACACATTAGAGGATGCGGAATTTTCACCCGGTGGTACTTAACATGAAATATTTTTCAGGAGTTTTCAACAGTTCATCCCTTAGATACATTATTTGGTGTAACTCTCGGGAAACACTTTTTTCGGTTATTAAAAATGCTCCCGATTGTTATAACAATTCAGTAGGATATTCGCGATGTTATTTAATATTATTTAATCTATGTAATATCATGTAAACGTTAGCGCATATTTAGGTATTTAAATTATAACACATAAAATATTTTAATTTTTTTTTTCCGTGTGTGGAACAATGGAGATTGTTCGCAGTAACGAAAGTTTCCTAAATTTTAGGCACCGGAAAGTATGATATATTGACGGCGGAAAATAACGAGCGAAAAGCCGAAACGGGGCCGTTGCCGTGCGACTTTCGGGGACTTTGTGTTTTTATTTCAATACGGCACCGTGTCACCCTGGCCGCACACGACTTATAAGTATCTGTATTGAGTGTTATATCAATCCGTCGCGAACGACTCGGCGGTTATGTTCGGGAATGTTTTAATGTCAGAGAACGGTCGCAGGTTAGCTCCGTCGTACATATATATATATATACGTGTACGTCATATAATATTGAAACATTAAATTCTATTTCGTTATAATAATAATAGTAATACCCTGCGTGGAAATCGTACGGATAAACGTGTGTCACGGCTCGTATATCGTACAGGTATGGGTTAGGTGCACATTATATACGTACACGTACACGACAAAGCGCGTGGATTAGTAAAAGGTTTATGGGTTAAACATAAAAACGATTTTAATCACCGGCCGGAGCAGGTGCACGATCCGGAGATTAAATTTAATATTATTAAATAGAGGAATTTTCGAAACTTTTACCGCACTTGCGTTATCCCGGTGCAGTATAATGTGATGGTATACCAACGTTATTATTATATACTCGTCGTACGTATTATTATTATGGTCGTTTTTTTTTTTTTTTTTTTTTAGAGTTCCATATGCGTTCCGTGTTGTATACGAGTGTATAATATTATAATATCTGGAACATAAAAAATGAAGGAAAAAAAAAAACGGAAAAGTTTCGATTTTATTGCGTATATTCATATTTTATTGAATCCAGTTTCTTCTATTTTTTTTTATTTACATCGTAATACAAAAAGAGCATGTATAAGTGCATCATATAATAATACGATGTGGTTTTCGAATTGATACAAATATGTATATTCATAGATGACCAGAGGCGTACAATAACGCGCGAAGTTATTTATCGTCTATTTTTTATAACACGACCATACTTCAATAAGTTCGCGTTGCAGGATACCCGCAATATACCTTTATATTTATAATATAATAAACGCGCGATTATGATGCGGTTTTGCGAATACTTTTAAAAAATACGCGAATCTCAATATAATAATATTATTATATAGACGACACGGTACGTTCTCGTGATGAAAACGGTTTTAATGATCCGACAAGAACGTACGAGTGTATACTAAAAAAAAAAAAAAAAAAAAAACCGAATAACCAGAGAATAATGTGAGGAAAAGTTATGGTTTTGAAGTACTCGAATCGAATTGCAAACTTAGGAGTGCAAAGGTTTTTTTCGAGCGCTCTAGGATCAACAGTGAAATAATATAATTATAAATGTGAGGAATGACAATAATAGGATGAAAATTGAATACTTATATAAATGCGAAAACCTAGAGTCATATTAAGGTAAATATGATCAAAATAAAGTT